ACGAAGGCCCTCCAAGGACTTAAGACATTGTCTAGAAAAATGCATGAAGATTCTGGTACTGGTAATTTTCTTGAGGAATGGTTTGAACGAACTTTTGGTCAATGGAAAACTTCAGTTGTAACTCTCTTAACGTCCATAGTCTCATTTGTGGCTATATTGATATCCTGCGGCTGCTGCTGTATTCCTTGTATAAGGTCTCTGAGTATAAGATTGATTGAGACAGCACTAGACAAGAGAACAGCAGATGCGTATTTCCAACAGCAGGCAGAAGAGTATGTTGCCTCACTGACCAAAAGCATGAGTGTCTGTAAAGATGTTCAGAGATGTGAATGACGAAGAAGAATACCATAACTGAGAATCTTAAATTGATGAAGGTGCTATGAAAATGAATGTGTTATGAAAAACCTTGTATTAGGAGCCATAATGCAGGATAAGATAATTTGGCATTCATCAATGATAAACAGGAGGGAAATGTTGGAAGAATTGCATTTATTATCATTGCTTCATGCTGTACTGTCGCTTTAACAAACTGCTTGCTTCCCATATTTACTCCAGTGTGTTACTGTCGCTTTAAGAAACTGCTTGCTTCCCATCTTTTCCTTGTCACACCCCCATTCACACCCATTTTCGCATCCAGCTTCTTACTCCATATACTCACACTAAATCAAATGTTATGTAATCTGATACTTTTGTAAACTAAATAAAAGAGCAGAGGAAGGGTGCAGCAACTCGGAGTTGATGAGGAAGCTGCCAGAAGAGCAAGCTGCATTCTCCCCTTGCAAGAAAAATATCCAGACGTCTTTGTGTTGTTACTTTGTCGTCATATATGTTAGAATAAACCTAACACCCATATCTGCATAAACAAATTGAAATGAACCAAATGGATACAGAGCAATCGACCTGATTCTCCATACAGAGAAGGTTCATTGAATACTGAAAATCAGAAATCTCAAACTCCCAGCCCACGGGCCATTTTCAGACCACAAACCAACCAGCCATGTATGGCCCATGACTAGATGTCAGTATAATGTATTCTGACCCCCACAGTTAGCTTTTGGCCCTTCAATGAGATGACGGAGCAACAGTGCCCCCCAGCTCATTAGAGTTTGAACTTTGACCAGAGGTATGGATGTGAGCATGAATGTTTGTTTGTCTCTATACTGTACTGTATGTTGCCCTGCTATGGACTGGTGAACTGTGCAGCGTGTACTGGTAACAGGTGTAAACACCTGGTTCAAAGAAGCAACTTATTGAAAACGGTTTTATACTGCAGTATAAAAAACAGAACAAGAGACTAGATGTTTTTTGAACTGCATCAAAATGTCCAGTATGTTTAGACTGTACGAGAATGACTGGGGTTTAACACAGAAAGACTGGGTTACAATTCACAATTTCTCAGTTTATATACAGATGTTTCCCTGGCTTGCTGAGTAACCGACTGAAGTGTTTGAATGAAAGGTTGATGGGACATTTTAACCTGCTTCATAAATACCCAAAACTGACAATTTAACTGAAAAGAAAAAAAGGTAAAGAAAAAAATATTCATATGTGCATCTTAAATTCAATCTTCTCTCTTCTTTAAATACCATAAGGAAAAACCTGTTTATCCTGATGATACCATATTTCATACTGATACTCTAGGAATAAGAGGCGTAAAGTGGTCTGTGATAGACCACCATTTATTTTAGCACTGCCTGAGCTGCAGTTGCAGCTGTGGGTGTTTGTGTGATACTGACTTCCTGCTTGGGTAATTAGTGCTGTCACATCAGTGTCCTTCACACCCACTGGGCAGCTGGAGCAGGAGCTGGAGGCTGCTTCCATAAGCAGCTGATCGATTGGGTTCCAAACACTCACACCAAACACACCAACTCACACGTATGTCTTAATATGCACACAGGAATTCCGGATTCATGTGATTTACTGATTGTCATCCACATGCCATGTGAAGGACAACATTAACAAAGAAAGGGAAGATATTTTTTCTAATCAATGATTTTATAATTAAAATAATATTTTTAATTGAACTTTTTGGCTTTTTATGTATTCATCACCATTATTCTTCAAAGCAA